AGGCCAAATTGAGGAGCTAAAAGCGGAGAGTCAATCATGTGACCGTACTTTTATTAATGATGTCCATGTTGAGGGAAGCACTCTAGAGTCATGTGAGGAAGTAGATAATATTATATGTGAAGACTCTAGTCTGTGTACATATGAGGATGTAAAGAGTGATGCAATTCTAGATTTGGGGCGTACTGGACCTCATTCCATGTATTTTTCAACATTGTGTTTGGATGATGACATGGAAATCAAGTCATCTGAGCCTTTGGAGGAGCCAATGGACGAGGAACGGGGTGCCTATGTTCTTGAATGTGTTGTGCCAAAAAGTAAAAATTACATTCCTCATCTAAAGGCCAAGAAGTGTAGAGTGGAAAATTTAATGCTTGGCCTAGTTTTCTTTGAAGCCCCACCGAAGGAGCATAGCCACGGATTGGATACCCTATTGGGGGCTCAATTCATAAGTTCGAGGTGGAGGCAAAAAGTGGTTCAAGTCGTGTCGCGACGTTAAATCAGGTGCTTGTTGGGAGACAACCCAACTTTACTGCTTTCTTTTATTTTTATTTTTATTTTTATCTTATTATTGTTGTAGTGTCTGTTTTTATTTTGTAGGATTATAAGCATAGGAGGCAAAGCCATTGGAAGAGTGTAAAAGCGAGCTAGAGGGTGAGAACTAAGTGGGGGGTGACCACACAAAGGACCATGCCCGGGGAAGTCTGAGCACCCGTGAGCCGCTATTGCTTCGGCCTTTGGCTTTTCAGGGAGTTTCTTATCCACCTTCGTTATTATTTTGCTTTATTTATGCATTGAGGACACTGCACTCCTTTAAGTGTGAGGTGAGAGAATTTCTCTAGATAATTAGTAGTAGTATGTTAGAAAATATTAACTTCTTATTTTGATTTTACCTTCTTATTTTTGTTTTCGTAGTTGTGTAGTATGTTAGTAGCTTAATTTATTTATTTTTAAATGTGGAAAATAAGAAGAAGAAAAAATTCGAAAAAGGTAGAAAAATTGGACTTTTCCCGATGATGGATCTCCTAGACAGTTTTCTTGAGGGATTAAAGTCTAAACAAAAATCCAAAAATATGTCTTTTAGCTTTCTTTAGGTAGTAATAATCCCCAGTGATTTTTCTTTGTGCCTCAGTTCTTTTTCATGGGATGTAGTTTGAACAGGGTAGTAGTTTTTCCTTTTATTTTTTATTTATTTTTAGAGTAGATTAGAAATTAGGGAATAAATGGACGAAAAAAGATAAGATTCCTAGGCGCCCTTGACTTGTTTGATAGTAGCATATTTAGGTTTTGGCATGCATAGTATCTTCCCTATATGCTAAAATTGCTTATGATGCCTTGGTCATTTGGATAGCATGTTTTGTGACGCCTACGTCTTATTTTCTTGACTTAATATGTTCACTTTGTGCTTAATGCTTAACATCTCGTGGCTCCGTGAATACTTGCATTAGTTTGAGAGTCGGAATGAAATCGTCCTTAGTGAGTTATGTGCCATGTGAGGTGAGATTTTTGTATAGTCCATGTTATTGTGCTTGTGTCTAGAACTTGCCCGGTATGTGAATCGAAGCGAAATTTTAGGTGATACTCGGTTTGAAAAATAATTTTAGGCTATCTTTGTTCTTTTTGAGTTTAATGCTTATCATAAATAAAATATATCCCTAGTTAACCATTTTGAGCTTATAGACTTTTATTTGGCATCCACATTACAAGCCTAAACCTCTTTTGTTCTAAATTGATATTATTTTGATCATTTTACCTCTTAAAGCACTTTAAGTGTGAGATGAGCGCTAAAAGAAGTAAGAAGGGACTAAGTGTGGGGTGACTTTTGAGTAGAACCAATGAAAGAAAGGAGGGTGCACTTATTTTGTAAAATAATACCCCATTAGCGAAAATTGATAAAGAAAAAAAAAAAGAAAAATCTGAAAAAAGAAAAAGAAAAAAATAGCAGATGAATTGATATTTTGTTCTTGCTAGTGGGAATGAATTAAAGTAGTGCTTAAATAAAGAGGGAACATTGTTAGGGATGATTTTAGTTGTGAAATTAAAATTGCGATTGAAGAATTTGCGCTTACAGTTGATTATGTGATGTGTTAAAGTGCTTAGGAGGGTTAGCCAGTATTCCTAAAATATATCCTACCCGTCCCTTAGCCCATATTATAACCATAAAAAGTTCTAATTGATTTTAGATCGATTAAGCCTACATTAGTAGAGATTTATATTATGGACAAGCCTATGGTACCAATTGCATGCATGTGACTTCTTTTGTGAGAGTGAGAGATTTTCTTTGATATATATGAGTCCTTAAAATATATTTGAGCATTTGATTTGAATGTATGATTTTAACTTACTCTCCTGTTCTTGTTGTGAGGGCACATGGTATCACGAGGGATAGGTAACGTTATTAGACTTCTCTCTATGATGTTGGATGTTCAAGCCATGAGTGCACTGTGAAATTGAGTTGGTTTTTGAGGCTAGGATTTTTATGAGCATGTTGTCTTTGTTTGCATATTTTTGAAGTATGGCATAAGAAAACGGAAGTGTATATAATTGCATATGCTAAGGTTTAATTGTTGCTATTTGTTGCTATCAACCATGGTCATTGGTGTAGTGTGCCTCAATTGTGTAAAAACAAAGTGCTCAAGGATAGTGTGAATTGTTGGTTGACTCGAGGACGAGCAACGTTTAAGTATGGGATAGTGATGTTTGGCTATAATTATATATTTTTAGTGTATTACTTACCTTATATTTTGGGGTTTTAATACTAAATTATACTATATTTGTGCTTAATTGAGTCTATTTTATGTGTAGGTACGTTGAATATGAAATTGGAAGCAAAGTAGAAATTTTATATATATTTTATGCACTACGAGAATGGCTCGTGATTATTTGACGATGGAAAATATTATAATGAGATAATGAAACAATGAGTGAAGACAAATCAAAAGAATACAAAAGTCAATTGCAAAAGAGGAAAACAAAAACGTGAAAGAAGGGAAAGTTAGGCAAAGCAAATCAAAAATAAGAATTGAAGCAAAAGTTAGGCAGCACATATGCAAAATGAGAAACGAAGCAGTAAAGCACGCGACGCGAGGGATTCATCATCTAGCGTGAGAGGTTGCGACGCGTGAAGCTCGCGTTTTGCCTCAGCATCGCGAGGTCCGCGAGCATGTTTCGAATTTTTAAAACTTATTTTATCTCTTATTTGATTTTGAATTTAGTTATTTCGTCTAGATCTTTTCCCTACACATATAAATAGTTATTAAATATCAATTTTAGAGGAGAGGACCGACTTTGGACAGACTTTAGACGAAGAGAGAGCACAGAGCCACCATGGAGGCCGGAATTCATCAGATTCCATCTTTCTTCCATTAAACTTACTAATCTTTATTTTTTCTTGATGATTTATTGTTTTGCTACCATGTCTATGTGGAGCTAAACTTCACGTTCTAGGATTGTGGTTGTCATAAATATTGAAGTTTATTAATTATATTACCGTTAATTCGAGTTATCATCTTTGGTGGTTTCTCTAATTCTGTGCATAATTGCTTAATTGTTTGGCCATCAGTTGATTTCTATTTACTATCTATGCTATGCTTGAAAAAGCCGTGTTTAGATTAGAGTAGAATTAGAGAGAGCTTGTTTCTGAACCCGTAGTTCGGGGAAAGATTTTGCGGTTAGGATAGGAATATACCTATTAGTCTTGTTTAGTTGAATACCATATTATATCTGTTCATGATAAATTCAAGACCATAGGAATATAGGGTTGATATATTATGGATAGACGGATACTATTGTGGGAACATGCTATTTATATTAAACGATCCAGTCAACTAGCAATCATAGATAATTTGGATTAACATGTGTAATTACGAACTCAATAGGATTGATAAACCGACCACAACCCTGGAATCTATATCTCCCTTGGTTACGTGTTTGAATTTCGCAATAGCAGTTGCAATAGAAAAGTTAAACTTTTGATCATCTTGGACAGTAAATTGATTTCAGTTTGCTTAGTTAACGGTTAATCTAAGACTTTGTGGGTTCGACATCCGACTTTCGAATCACTTTATTAATTGACGGCCACGTATACTTGCGTGTACTTGGGGAACCAACGGGGATCACTATAAGGAAAGGAAAAGTTCATACTGTACTTGAAGGTATTAAGAGGAGACAGTGGAAACAGTTTCAAAAGGAACTAATAGCAGCAATTTGAGGAGCGATAATATACCATGTATGGAGAGGAAGGAACCGGAAGATTTTTAGGGGAACAACCATAAATACTAAGATAGCGTTGGTGCAAATTAAAAGAGAGATTATAGATAGAATAGAAAGATTTAAGAACTCTAGGAAAGCCAAAAGTTTCCTTAGTTTAATACACATAATACGTTGTAATTAGATGTTACTTGATTTGTCGGAGGCCTGCTCTTCCTGAATGTGGAAGATGGGTGCTCTTTAGGTGTATGGTTTTGTGAGTTAATGGTATTATTTATATTTTTTTACCAAAAAAATAAAAAATTAAGGAAAGTAATTGCAATGGGTTATTATTGCACTATTCAAGCAAGAGTTGATTCTGAACGGGGAGCATCGCCAAGTCTAATAAAGCAATTCTGGGATCGTTCTATATCACTCAAAATAAACAGATATTACACATGCACATAGACAGAAGAAAAGGCTGCGCTTTATGATCAGCTCTGAATCCTCGACCTTTTTGTCTAGATGTAGAACTAAAAACAAACCACAACTTCAAATATATTAGTGATATTTAATAATTGTTTAATAAATTGATTCAAGAAACCCTAAATCCTTGCCTCTTTATCTCTAAAATAGAAATTAATAAATCGCAGCAACTATATAATAGTCAGAATTCTTGCGTATAAGTTAGGTCTCCTTAGTTCAATTTTCTGATAATGTTTTCTTGTGAGCCAATTACTTGGAAACCAAATCAGACAGAAACTCACCGAGAAGGAATTGATTACAAGTTCTATGATTAATGGACTATTTTTATTTTAAATAATAATAAAGTAGCCCCAATATTAAAAACTTAAAATAATCCAGCAATAATTCTCTATATACTAAAGAGCCTACAAGTTGAGGATCGCTCAGTCAAACAAGCTGAACATGAGCTCATCATCACTCTCTTCTTTTACTTCTTCCTTCTTCTTGTCATTGGCGGAAGGTGCAGCGGCGGCATCGTGAGCGGGAGCAGAGGCGGTAGAAGCCGCGGTTCCGCCGACGCCGACGCCGACGTTCATGACAAGTTCGTCCACGTTCATCTTCTGACAAAGTTTTGCAAAAAGGCTCGGCCAGTATGATTCCACCTTCAAATTTGCTGCTTTTATGAGTGTACCAATTTTCTCGGCATTAATAGGAATGCCATCATCATGTAGGATCAAACAAGCGTAAGTACAAGTAAGTTCACCGGTGGAAGACATCTTTTCTGTATCTCTAGAATAATATTGCAGAAACCCTAATAGAGTAGTAGGAATTTTGAGGTTGTGAAAACAATTTTGTGGGGGTATTTATATAAGTACGAGAAATAGGTTTATTCCTAACATGAGCAGGAGTCCCAACTTGATAGGAATTTTAAGAAAAAAACGTCGGTCGTGTCAAATATTATTAATGGACTTCAAAGTCTTATTTAGGCAAAGAGTCCTAAAATTAAAAGGAATTGAAGCAGGATCGAAATTTTACCTATTTTTTAGAAACTAGTTTTTGGATACTTGGATTGCACGTCTAATCATTATGTAGCTTGTCACCAAAAAAATAATATAATAACTATTAATTGCATACAAATTCCAAAACGTTTTGAGTTTAAAACATAACTTATAGTATACAAAATATTATTTGTAGTTATATTTTTATTATTTTATTAAGTACATAAATGTTATTGGTTATATCTAATTTAATAATTTCTTATAAACGATGCTCCTCATGATTATCTCTGTTGAAATCTAATTGATCTTAAATAAAAATAAAAAAAACGACCAACCAACTATTGCTAGGAAAATTGTTCATCTTCTTTCTTCCCAAATATCTTGATGGAGACCACCTTCACTCCTAATTTATGTGCTCTTTTAATATAAAGTACACTGAATATTTGAATGAGAAAGTAAAATGATGAAACATGTTTACACAATATTTTCAGTGATATATAAAGATTATTTGCACTAAAAAGCTAATGGTCTGCTAGATTTCTTAAGCTCTACCAAGATGAATAAAAGATAGGCCATGAACATCTTTTTCAAGAGCGTGTTTTAGTTGCTCTAGTTTTGATAGATACTCATCTAATAATGTCGAGAAATAACTGCGTAAGACCTATGAATTTTGAAGAATCACTGAGAATACTTGTTATCCTACAAAAAGTTTTAGAGTTTTAAGTTATTTCTCAAAGGTAAAATTAATTGTGAATGCCAAAGATGAAGAGAAGAGCCGACATGACGAAGATAGCTAAATAGAAAAATTTAAATTGGCCAAGCTATCATTTGATAAATTCCCCAAATGCACATACAACACTGAAGAGAAGGCAAATATGAAATAAAATAGAAAAATTTAAATTGGCCAAGCTATCATTTGATAAATTCCCCAAATGCACATACAACACTGAAGAGAAGGCAAATATGAAATAAAATAACAGCATTTGACTTTAACTCACCTAAGTCAAACTCCCAAATTGCGTGAAGAGAAAACATGTTAGTACCATAGATTTTGCTTTTCATAAAAGATGGCAAAGTGCTTATTTGACTTTGGAGCACATCAATCTAAGTGCAAAAAAAAATCCAAACCAGCAAAAGGAAGAATTTCAGAATGTTAATGCCAAATTCTTGTGTTTAAAATGAAATGAAACTATTAATTGCCACATTAATATTTCGTAATCTCCAACTGTAAATTCTTAACAGATACATTCTCAAACTTTGTACATATTTTGAATGAATCATTAATTACCATTGCCATGATAAAGGATATTTATGATGAAATATTTTTACCTTTTTATCCAATAGTTTAACTACAATAAGAAATTATTTATTTATTTACTAAGGGTATATAAAGTTCACTATTTTTTTATGGACATTTTAGTAATTCAACTTTGACTTAGGGGTTTCCCACTTATAATATAGTATGATTAATTATTAATTCAACTTCCTAAATGACCTTTAAAGAGTATTCTTTTGTTATCCATTCTATTATCGCCAGAACGCAAATCTGAAATTCTCATGATGCCGACTATTACTCAGTCCCTAATTCATGTTTAGTTTATCTTGTTCATCTGCCCATACTGATTTCTTATTACTCTGGGGTCTAACTTTTTCTTTTGGTAGTCGCGTTGGAGTCACAAACTTATTTCTCAAAATGAGGATATGACTTTATAGCCTATACTCTTTTGTTGTCTCAAGGCTTGTCACCTCTCGTATTTTCCTTCACTTGAGTATAGACTCAGCAATACTGTCATCTTTTGATCTACCGTTGTTATCCATGTATCATATCTTACTCTTAATGCTTCATTAGCTCTCTTCTTATTTCCTGCTAACATTTCTATCTATCACTTTATTTTGAAAACTTTAACATGATATTCTTTTGCTTTTAGCTCCCCCTTGCTCCATTCACTGGCTCTTCGGGTTGCCTAGAATTATCTCTCTACTAGGGACGTGAGCCATACTAAGATAATATTTATCCTTTCCAAGCTTCCCGTGCCTATCTTTGTAGCACTCATATCTAGCTATACTATTTTAGAGTGCACCATTTGGGTGTCTCACAAGGAGAATTGTTAGCACATTTGCACTATCTTTCGGAAATGTCAACTAACGCAAACAATCAATTCACCATTTTGGGTTACTCTAGCCCCAACCGGATTCTGATATCCGGTCCTTTTCTTAATCTACACCTGTTAGCCCCCAATAAGGTATAACTGAGATGGGTGTGGCCAATTATACATACCTCTGTTACTGTTGAGGGTAACTCACAATGCATATATTTTTCTGCCGGAACTGTAATACTGATAATCTTCATTAACTGGGTGCCTCGTACCCTTCTTCACCTTGCTTCTTTTACTTGCTGAAACTTGTATCTCCCTCCTTATTCCTTTTTACCGTAAGAGTGGATTGGCATTCTTGGCTTAGGGATCCTTATAAAGAAGCTTACACATCTTAGTATACACATGATTTGCTGAATACCTCATATTTATCCATAATAAGCATGATGCAAAAATTGAGTTCCTCTGACTCAACTCTTCCACAGCTATATCTCTTACCAACCATCTTTCTGGATGTAGGCATCGTCGTATTATGAACAAGATAGAGTTAGGAAATTGAGTTCTTACAATTGAGCTCTATGACACGATCTAGAGTAAGAAGAAAGAGTGACAGTCCTAAATGCCATGTAGCCTTCTGCTTATAAGTGTGGTGCACAACACACCCATAAACAAGACTCTACTAGACATGGCTTGTAGACTCCCTAGAACAGAACTGCTCTGATACCACTTTTGTCACGACCCAAACGGATGAGCCGCGACGGGCACCCGGTACCTTACTCAACTGAGCATCAACGTAATGTATCTTTCTTATTACTTCATCATATACACGTGACATACGGGCCTAATAGGCCAACATGATCATTTATAAATTCAAAACATAGGCCGACAAGGCCGTACACTCTTTCACGTACACGACATTTGTCTACAAGCCTCTAAGAGCACATAATTGTTATAAAGTTCAGAACAAAGCCCCGCCATACCAAACCATACACATCTAAATCATACTGACCAAACAAGCAACTCCGGAGCAAATAGAGTGCACCAATATCTTCTGCTGAGCTGATCGCCTACTTGGAGGACTCTCGACCTATCTATCGAGATGTGGGGGTATGAAACGCAGCGTTCCCAGGCAAAAGGGACGTCAGTACACATAATGTACCGAGTATGTAAGGAATGAAAATCAGTAAATAATAGACATGAGAGAAACATGGAGTAAAAGACTCGACATGTACGTATCCATAGCTCTGTGAATCATTTCATTTTTATAATGTCATGCATATGCGTATAAATGTCATACCATGCAAAGGTATATGAGTTCATAACATCATCAAGCTTATGAGGGCATCTCATCATATCATTCGGCCACTGTGGGCAAATCATCAACGTATACCAGCTGATCAAGTGGTGGTGCGTATATAATGCCATAACCTTTTTCCATATCCCATATAACGCCATCTAGTCATGGGTCAATGTACATGTATAAATGCATGAAATGCATAAGAATTACGTTAATAAGATTTTCTCAAAATGTCATAAAAATGATATGCCTGTCGGATAAATTTTATCAAATATGTATTTTTCTGAGAACCATGAACAGAAGATATAATAATAATTCACATGGGGAATAAAGAATATAGACACCCTTAATATTTCTATGAATAGAGTCTTTATATTAGGAGAATAAGTAAATGACTACAACTAAATATTAGAGATATAGTTAAATGACTATTTCGTCTAGTGTAAAATATATTTTTAAAGGGTAAAAAAGACGAACGATATTTCGCTAAGAGCCTTTATGCTTTTAAATAACTATACTCTTAGGATACTTAGGATACGCGCGTTACGTGCGTATCCGATGCTAATAAGTATAAATTTTTTTAAAAATCACATAAATAATAATGTGCTTGAATTATAAAATAAAAATAAAATAAATATCATTTCACGAAAATCGTGAATATAAATTTTAAGCTCTAGAAAGGATTTATGAGGATAGAAAGAGGGGTACGGTTTTAAGAATCTTGAAAGTTCAGAAATGGTTGAGAGAGTTCTTTGTGCGAGAAACTTTCAGCAACTTACGGGAAATTAAAAGTGGGAAGAGGAAGGGGACATGTCTTTCGAGAGGCTTCTTGAAATGTGTCTACTAAAAAAGTACCTGCTGAGTAGAATTTTATGACTAACAACATATCCAAAATTTTAGCTATGAGGATGAACCCCCTACTTTCAAAACTTATATCAAACAACCAGTTTGGCTTTGTTAAGGGTAGATTGATTACTGAATATATCCTCCTCACTCAAGAAATAGTCCATGGCATCAGAATTCATAAAAAAGAAGGCAATGCATTCATCAAACTTGACATGACCAAAGCCTATGACAAGATGTCATGGACATTCCTTATTTCTGCCATGAGAAAGATGGGATTTGTTGAAGGTATTATTGAAACTATTAATCTACTTGTCTCCAATAATTGGTACTATGTTACCATTAACGGAACAAGATTTGGATTTTTAATTCCACCAGAAGTCTCAAACAAGGAGATTCTTTATCTCCTACACTCTTTATTATTGCTGTAGAAGTTCTCACAAGGGCTCTCAATCAACTTCATCAAAATGATAGCTTTATTGGCTTCTCCGTGAAGAATAGAGGCCCCCAGATAAATCATTATGATCTGGTCCTTTTCTGTTCTGGGCACAAAAAGTCCACCAAGATGATTATG